CCCACCACACATGACACCTGCGAGTATGGACGCTCTAGTGTCAGTGCGAGCCAGGTAACAGAATTGACGACTTTTGCGTTCTGACGCCCCTTATCACCCCTTATCGATTGTAACCATTTTCCATCACCTACCAACAATGTCCCCGTCCCACCACACATGACACCTGCGAGTATGGACGCTCTAGTGTCAGTGCGAGCCAGGTAACAGAATTGACGACTTTTGCGTTCTGACGCCCCTTATCAGCCCTTATCAGTTGTAACCACTTTCCATCACCTACCAACAATGTCCCCGTCCCACCACACATGACACCTGCGAGTATGGACGCTCTAGTGTCAACGCAAGCAGAGAGAACGGAATCGACGACTTTTGCGTTCTGACGCCCCTTATCAGCCCTTATCAGTTGTAACCACTTTCCATCACCTACCAACAATGTCCCCGTCCCACCCCACATGACACCTGCGAGTATGGACGCTCTAGTGTCAACGCAAGCTGCGTAACGGAATCGACGACTTTTGCGTTCTGACGCCCCTTATCAGCCCTTATCAGTTGTAACCACTTTCCATCACCTACCAACAATGTCCCCGTCCCACCCCACATGACACCTGCGAGTATGGACGCTCTAGTGTCAACGCAAGCTGCGTAACGGAATCGACGACTTTTGCGTTCTGACGCCCCTTATCAGCCCTTATCAGTTGTAACCACTTTCCATCACCTACCAACAATGTCCCCGTCCCACCCCACATGACACCTGCGAGTATGGACGCTCTAGTGTCAACGCAAGCTGCGTAATGGAATCGACGACTTTTGCGTTCTGACGCCCCTTATCAGCCCTTATCAGTTGTAACCACTTTCCATCACCTACCAACAATGCCCCCGTCCCACCCCACATGACACCCTGCGAGTATGTACGCTCTGGTGTCAACTCAAGCTGCGTAATGGAATCGACGACTTTTGCGTTCTGACGCCCCTTATCAGCCCTTATCAGTTGTAACCACTTTCCATCACCTACCAACAATGCCCCCGTCCCCCCACATGACACCTGCGAGTATGGACGCTCTAGTGTCAACGCAAGCTGCGTAACGGAATCGACGACTTTTGCGTTCTGACGCCCCTTATCAGCCCTTATCAGTTGTAACCACTTTCCATCACCTACCAACAATGTCCCCCGTCCCCCCCACATGACACCTGCGAGTATGGACGCTCTAGTGTCAACGCAAGCTGCGTAACGGAATCGACGACTTTTGCGTTCTGACGCCCCTTATCAGCCCTTATCAGTTGTAACCACTTTCCATCACCTACCAACAATGTCCCCGTCCCACCCCACATGACACCTGCGAGTATGGACGCTCTAGTGTCAACGCAAGCTGCGTAACGGAATCGACGACTTTTGCGTTCTGACGCCCCTTATCAGCCCTTATCAGTTGTAACCACTTTCCATCACCTACCAACAATGTCCCCGTCCCACCCCACATGACACCTGCGAGTATGGACGCTCTAGTGTCAACGCAAGCTGCGTAACGGAATCGACGACTTTTGCGTTCTGACGCCCCTTATCAGCCCTTATCAGTTGTAACCACTTTCCATCACCTACCAACAATGTCCCCGTCCCACCCCACATGACACCTGCGAGTATGGACGCTCTAGTGTCAACGCAAGCTGCGTAACGGAATCGACGACTTTTGCGTTCTGACGCCCCTTATCAGCCCTTATCAGTTGTAACCACTTTCCATCACCTACCAACAATGTCCCCGTCCCACCCCACATGACACCTGCGAGTATGTACGCTCTGGTGTCAACTCAAGCTGCGTAACGGAATCGACGACTTTTGCGTTCTGACGCCCCTTATCAGCCCTTTATCAGTTGTAACCACTTTCCATCACCTACCAACAATGCCCCCGTCCCACCCCACATGACACCTGCGAGTATGTACGCTCTGTGTCAACTCAAGCTGCGTAACGGAATCGACGACTTTTGCGTTCTGACGCCCCTTATCAGCCCTTATCAGTTGTAACCACTTTCCATCACCTACCAACAATGTCCCCGTCCCACCCCACATGACACCTGCGAGTATGGACGCTCTAGTGTCAACGCAAGCTGCGTAACGGAATCGACGACTTTTGCGTTCTGACGCCCCTTATCAGCCCTTATCAGTTGTAACCACTTTCCATCACCTACCAACAATGTCCCCGTCCCACCCACATGACACCTGCGAGTATGGACGCTCTAGTGTCAACGCAAGCTGCGTAACGGAATCGACGACTTTTGCGTTCTGACGCCCCTTATCAGCCCTTATCAGTTGTAACCACTTTCCATCACCTACCAACAATGTCCCCGTCCCACCCCACATGACACCTGCGAGTATGGACGCTCTAGTGTCAACGCAAGCTGCGTAACGGAATCGACGACTTTTGCGTTCTGACGCCCTTATCAGCCCTTATCAGTTGTAAACCACTTTCCATCACCTACCAACAATGTCCCCGTCCCACCCCACATGACACCTGCGAGTATGGACGCTCTAGTGTCAACGCAAGCTGCGTAACGGAATCGACGACTTTTGCGTTCTGACGCCCCTTATCAGCCCTTATCAGTTGCTATCGCTTCCATTCATGTACCACCATTGTCCCGGGACCACACTACATAACACTTGTAAGTATGGACGCTCTAGTACTAATATGAACGACAAAACGAAATTGGCGATGCTCGCTTTCTAGCCCCTCTTATCAGCTATTATCAGTCGTTATCAGTTCCTATCACGTACCACTTGAGTCCCCCCACCCCCTATAACATATGTAAGAACCATGGCGCTATCGTTGCTGTGACCCGAGCTACGAATTTCGTGACAAACACACACACACACACAGACCTACACACACACACACACACACACACAGACATACTTAGCGAATTATATATAGTAGGATTGGTAACGTATTGGGCCAAGTTTGAGAATATACGCCGTTCCAATTCACATCGCCGCAGAACTGTGGGATGCACGCGAATGCGTGCGCAGCTAAACCGGTACCTTATATTTCCGAACCACTTTAGTACGCTCAGGAAACCTAAATTTGCCAAAAACTGCTGTAACTAATTAAATTGGAACGTTTCAGGCAATTTAATCGTAGAACCTTCTATTCGCTCTTTTTTCTATACACAGAGCAAAATAAACCCCCAAATTTGCTTAAAGTAATGCTTTAAATAGGTGTGGAATGATATGTTGAAGAAGAGTTTCATAAGCACTTTGCTTGAAAATCTAGTATACTCCTTCTCTAACCATTGCATGAGTGAGTGGCCGCATAGAGAACCCAAGAACTTGAAGAACTTGAAGTAACGCACACAGTAGGCGTTCAGGACGTCAAACTAGCGTAAAACTTACTTAAAAATGAAGGTTATATTCATGATACGGGTCTCCTATTTTCCATGGAATTTCTACAATCACAATCTTCTTGCCCTCAATAGTTGGATACTCGTGGGGTGATGCGAAAGGCATCAGCTACTAACGAGTTGTACTACACCAATGGTTTTCCCAATTTTTTCAATAATAACGAGTTCAAATTAATCCTTTTTGGCTGGAAATTTGTTACAAAGGCTGTTTTGTCATCCTCAAAACGTTGGTCACACACTCTCGGCGTGAAAACCTAGTTTGCGCACTGCCTACGCTAGGGTGCCGCATTGCCAAAGTCAGAATATTCAAAAGGAAAATTCATCGAAAGGCAGCAATCTAGCTACCGGAAAAAAAGCAAGGAGACTGAGCGAATTGATTCGATCCCCCAGCTACGGATCTGCAAATCGGCCTCTTCCACCGCTAGGCCACTACACCATTAGGGGGAAAAGAACATTCGTAATTTTGTTTACAGAATCATTCAGCAGATTTAGAAGACAGATTTGGAATCAGCGTTTGGAGTCTAAAGCACGAGAAAGAAAGGGCAAGAAAGGCGGGAAGAAATTGACTGGTGACGTGGTGTAGAGAAAGGACATTGGGAACGAAGGGCACAGAACGGTTATTTGTACGGAATCCTTAACATAACGCATGATTACGGTAGTCTTACAACGCCTGCACGAAGACAGTAAACAAGCGTAGCTCATAAATCAAAAGCCAAATTCTTGACATTTTTTGCCGTTCACCGTAGGAATAAGTGCTGTCGCAACTAGAGCAAGTTTCCCATCGACGCAATGGGGAAGGTCACGTTCGACGTTATTTCTAAGATGTGATAAAGAAACTCGTCCAAAGATCAAGGAGCTAGTTCTTTTGAGCGTCTTGAAAGAACGACTTTCTCGATGTGCATAGTTTAACAGCAGCGCAAATTGGTGGCGAATTGTGCCCTTTTCGCTGGTCTTCACAGCTAATGCTCAATGTATCATACAAAATACTCCATCGGAAAGCATTTCATACAATAACAGGAAAAGTAAACAGGGGCGCTCCCATTGTGTGACTTACATTTATTAACATAAGGGATGTAACATCAGTGCACATGTTTACATACTACGTATATATTTGCAACCTCGATAGCTAACAGATATAAGGACGTCGGTACTTGTCACTGCGCCACCATTTTTGCTCGTCTTTCAGCGATGCTCATTTTCATCCAACTGGCTGTTCTAGTACGTATCGGTTCTTCATTCTATTCATAGGGACTAAAGGAATGAACACGGAAATTTCATGCCAATTGTGAGGCAAATTTAAAAATTCGAGGGCGTCTGTACGCTTGTTCTCCCACAGTTGCAGACCGCTCCTCCCCTTCAGATTACTATAGCAATGAAGATACCCTTGCTCTCACTTCGGCAACCAAATATTCGACTTCTGCGGTAGGAATAGGCCCGCCGTTAACCTGTACAGAGTACCAATCAAATGAGCAGATCAGAGATTTTCATGTCTTCAACATTAGGCTCCATTGTTGGTATACAAAGGAATAGTGGAAATGGTTTTGGCAACTGTTTCTCTACGACTACCCCTGAGCTGTTCTCGGCACGAAACTTATCACGTTGTCCGTAGCTTGGGGTCAAGGTGTCGTGAATAGCTTAGGTAAAAATTATGGTTAGCTAACGTCTCTACAGCGCTTCTCATAATTAGCTCACATAAATCTCATAGCAACATTAAGAGCGAAAAACCCGTTTTGAGTGGGATTGAAGAGAAGGCGTAGCTAAATCGTAGTTATGCAGAGAAAAGAAGGATAATGGGATTGAGGAGGCAGATGCCACATTGAGGGTCAGATAATAGCCTCCAAATCTCCTTATCTTTCCTTCCTCTTATCGGCTCCTCTAATCAGGAGTTCAAGAATGCAGCTGCAATAACATAATCCTCAGATGCTTCTGCAACCTTTTTCTGCTATTCGTTCGTTTCCTCTTGCTCTTATTATTCTGTAACTTTAAGTATAGTAGAAAGCTTGTGGTTCGACCTAGGGTCGAATCGCGGTTGTCTTATTTCTTATTCTATGCTGAGAACCTCGATCGCCATCTCCAATTGCGAATTAAGGGTAGCTTACCACCGTACAAGATCTTATTCTGAGAATCGGCTGATTCTGTGCACACACTGGATCAAATTTTCTCCTCCGGTGCCTTTTTACTTGAGCATCAGCTCCATTTGCAGCAGGTTTACCCATATTAGCGATCTACTCTATGTTGATCAAACGATTTTGGTCATGCACGGCGCACGCCTTTTATAGGTAAGCTCCCTTTCGGCGAGAAGTGTGCCTCTGAAAGCACATTTTTTAATGAATAGGTAGGGAATACTGAGCCCAGAAATGAAAATAATTACGGTAGTTGGTCTACAGAAGCTAAAGGAAGCCTAAACCGCCAAAAGCTCTAAAAATTACATTGCACCACGTATGGGCAGAATTCGCGCCCCGCCCACGCACGATTCTCATTGGTCAGCGGTTTCTGCTATACGGTAAAACATGGTATGACGGGTAATTGTGGGAGGCTCAAGGGGGCAAAGCACCACATCGCAAAGCCCGTATTGAAGAATGTAATTCTAAGAATTCTTGGCACTCTTTTTTCCGTTTTTGGACCACTTAGCACAAATAATTCACTTCTGGATGCAATCATCCACAATTCTTCAATCGCGAATTGTACCATTCAAATAACCAATGCTTACTTGCATGATTGGGAATATAGTTAATAAGATAAAGATAAAATATTTGGCGCTAATGAACTCTATTAGGTGAGCCACGCATTCTTCTCCAATTCAGATTCGTAGCGGCAATTTGAATGCGGCTGGGCCTATAGAATGTCCTGCAAGGAATAGCGATGTCCGAAGTCGGGCTCTTATTCTCCCAGACAACTCTGCTACCATCTGACCGCCCCTGAGGGTATGTAAGGCTTTACTGGATCGGACGGCGAACAAGCTAGGATTTCTTCTCTGCTTCCCTTTGTTTCTCTGCCATGAAAAGGGAATTTCAAGCAAACTCCAGGCAGCATAGAGATGGAAAGGAGTGAAAATGAGAACAGTGGTGATCTTGTGATGACTGACCATAAGTTGTTTGAAAGGACAATTTAAATTATCACTCGGTTTTCAAGAGTTTCTCCGATTCAGCCATTGGCTGACAACGTTTTCAATGCAAACCTCTCAGTATGCAAAAGGGATCGTCCATAACGAACAGCACAGACAAATAGGCTTACGACAAAACCTATCTTGCATTTGCTCTGCTTCCGGAAATCGGATGCACGTCTGCAGACAACACACCACAAGTGACAATGGCCCAAATAAATCTGATTATTGGTGGTTCATAGTGACAGCTGATAGTTGATGATAGTTAATAGTTATAATTAATGACAACCGGTAATAATACAATGCAACTGGCTCATCATTTCATTGGCAGAAAACATTTACGTTAAATGGGGCGCTCGTCGCCTCTGATGCGTGGTCTGCATTCGACGCACAACTAGTTTCGGAAGGCAAAGGGTGTGTACGTCACTGGTTGCACTGTAACTTTTTAATTGTTTCAAAAACTTATATCGTACGCCGTGCTTGCACAAAAGAGTCGAATTTAATGAATAATATATAAAATATAATGAGCAAAATAATGTTGAAACTCGATTACAGCCAAAACTATTCATCCAGGTCAGTGAACCATAATCTCATTTCGCTTACGCTTGGTATTAAGGTTGTGATTCTGCCACCATCATGGGCGCAATATCTCAAGGACCACTATCCCCAACACATCAATCTTATGTGTGAGTCACAATGAAATTAAACTAATCAAAAAGCCTGCGAAATTTCCTTGAATTTAGATGCTTTTCAGTCGTTAAGGGCAACTGTGAAATCGCAAGCCACCACCCGAATGCATGGGCCAGGATTCAGTATTACGAAGGGCATAACCGTCCGGAGGGACTAGCGTTGGTTAACACATGTTTAATCACTTCACTATGAATTCCCAAGAGATATGATGAAATAATGGTGAGTGCATCTAGGGATTCAAATATATCATACAGCGACTTACGGGTGCTAACTTAGTTGGGGGGGCCACGCGGCGGCGCGGCAGTCTGCTCACCTGGGCTCTCTCGAGCGAGACAGTGTAAACTCGAACATTCCAGCTTTTCACGCATGTCAAGTGACTGCCCCCACCCCCCACCCCCCTAGACTGCCTACACTCCCCCTGGCCCACGGATTTCCGAACATGCCAGGCGAGCAGACTGCCGCGCCGCCGCGTGCCCCCCCCCCCAACTAAGTTAGCACCGCGACTAGTTTGTACGTCTCCATGTCACGTGTACGGAAATACTGAGGTTTTTATCTAAAGGGGATAGTAACGCTAATGTCGCTCGGGAATAGAAATACATTCGCGGGAATCGAACCTGCACCTTACTTTCCGCGCAGCTGTGGTACCGATTACACCAGTGGGGCACCGCTTTGCATTCATTCATTTATGGTATGATGGTGACTAGCTGATAATGGTTATTGTTTGATAGCCAGCTGCTGCTTCTGGACGTAGTTTGCCATGAGGATAATGATAAAAATGGTTATGGACACAAAGATACTTTTTAAGTACGAACAAAGTGGTGTCATTATGTGTTTGGGCTAATAAACTACTAAACCGGGACGGGCAAGGAAAGAGCTGCTTGGGAATGGGAACGGATTAGATCAGATCGCTTGCCTTCGTTGATAACCAAGCCCTCCAGCGCGCTGCGACGTCCCATGACGTCACACGACAAGAATCGCCCCCCCCCCTTTTTTTGACTTTCTCATACCTCTAATAGTAGCTGCATCGTTCGAGGCTTGCATAAGGTTCATGCTGTAATGGTTACCATTGATAACAAATCGACTTCCAGGCCTACGATTGTAACTTGGAGCAATTTGCCGCTCAGTTGCTCTATAAAAATAACTACAATCTAATACCTGGACATGCAGTCAACCGCTATGAGAAGTGATGATTTCATTGAATTCTGTGGGTAGAGCGCAACGAATTGTTCAGCATTCGTTCAGAAATTTGACTGATCCAAGTAAGTGGAAGGACGAGGTCGGCAATTCGATGTTATACTGGATAAACCACCGCCCCTCATTTACACGGGTATGATTTCACTTATCAGCTAGCTACCGTTCTGTCATATATCCTTCGATATTTCATAGCTCACATACCAAACTTCAACTTTCATGGGATGTGCATATAAGGTCACCCGGCAGAATGAAAAGTATGATCAATATGTCTTCAAAGTGTTCTGCGTATACTCACGGTTCGTTTTGGTACAACAAAACAAACTTATATAGCATGAAAAATCACGTTTTTCAGAAGTGCGAGGGAAAATCTGTTGGCGAAACCAATCCCAGGAACGTGCTTGTATACGAGACACTGATTGCGGCATATTTGGCACGGGTTACCGCTGTCACTTTAATATCGGTCTCTGTTATACCACACGTATTGATCACATTTATTGGGTATTTTGACCCTCTTGAAACTAGTCTAAATCTGATTCTATTGGAAAATATTTTCATGAACGCTGGTGGAACTGTATTCTTGTGTACCCTTCCATGTCCTCTTCTTAATCATGTTATTGTAGTAGTTACTCCGCAAAATACTGTATCACGTCCATGAATGTGTTCCTTGTCCAGAATGAAGCTGACATTTAGCCACTTTGCTGTTTAAGGTATGAACTTTTCGCATTGGTGCAAAGAGCAGAGCAACTCCAACTTACTACCTATAAATAATTTACAAATACAGGTAATATGCCATGAACTGCGAACTAACAACAGTCCACATAATTCCATGGTTTAAAAGGAATTCTTTCAGGGTGCATTTCCCGTGTTTAGCTATTTCATAATGATCATAATGAATTCTCTATCTGATACGATATGGAGATAGTCAGGACAAGATTTGCCGTCGATTAATCCTTTTGGAGTGTGTCACGCATTATACCCCATTCGGAATCGCTGGCCTATCTGAACAGGATTGGATCTCTACAGTGAATTGAAGGGGAGAGGGAAGCAGCTTATGTAAAATTCTTCGTCCTAACTTTTTGAAACAAATTCAGCCCCAACTAACCGAATCCGCAAGGAAGAATGGCTTGGATGACCTGGATGGCGTACCGCCTAGGATTTGATCTCTGTACCGCTGCTCCCCTCTCTAGGCATTTTGCTTTCCGTGATTCATGTGATAAAAAATGACAAGGAGAGCTAGTCAAAGGCCAGCGATCGTTTTGTATTGCCCGTTGTAGTGTGACAGCCAAAAATTGTTCAAAGGTTCCGCAATTTACTGGAACGAAGAAAGTTTACATTGAGAATGGTGTGCTGCGCTGGAACCCTCATTTTTGTGGAGTCACCACCGGAGATAATTAGATTTGTATTGAAGAACAGTATCATTATGCCACAGCGATGATAGTTTCCCTTCTTTAGTGTACCACTCACCATCGCTAAGTTAATGTTGAAATGGGTTGCCTTTCCAGCGTGAATTCGTCCTTTAAACGCTCATAGAATCCAAAGTCAAAAATAAAAGTATATGCAAGAAGATACTTGAGTGCAGTACCATAGACGTTTTATTAGGAAGGCACATAATCTCAACGCAAAAATCTTGCTAGGAAAAATTTTACAAGTTTATTGTCTTTGAACAACTGTTATCTATGAATTTCTCATCCACTTCAGCTGGATTTTCTGTGTGTTACACCGAAACGAGCAGACTCGAGACCTCGAAAGAATCCGATTTGATTAAGAGTGCAAAACAAAAAACGTGAAACCATTTCGACGAGCCTTACCTGCACGCCTTCCCTCTTCATCTAATATCCTGTATTCATGCATTAGGTAACAGATTTCCAACATGAGCTTGCTTTCCTTTGTAAGACTAGTGACTGATCAACTTTTTTGGAGTTGTATTGTCCCGTTAGGCTAATATATTATTACTTTTTTAGGTGATATAATGTTTTGGTTTCCCATAATTTTGGCCCGGCCTACAGATTTGCCATTCAGCCAAGATGAGAGGTGTGTTCCTTCTGATAAAGGCGCCATTAAGATCAGAAGTTGTGTGATTTCAGCACAAGAACTTACTAGCACCGGTGCGAAGTTTGTTAGCAGTGAAGAACAAAGAAAGAGCTCGTCGAAGTGTCGGAGTAAAGGGCTTGTTCACTATTGTGCTAAAGAAAATAAGAATGCGCTTGGGTTGGTTCAGAGACCGCAGCGGCTACCAGCGTGCTGAGGATGAGGGAACATGGAAGCGGTTGAAGCAGTGATTGCTTTGCACTTAGGCTTGTTGATGGTGGCTTTTCTCGTTGGTTGCCCCTCTCTGCGCTTGTAGCGCTATGTGGAATGGCTGAATGTGGGCTTGATAAGTGTTTAGTGATGGCAGTTAGTGTTACCACATTCACCAAACATTGATATCGTAATACCTGTGAGGAACCAGTTCTGTTAGAGATCAATGCACACCGACATACATCCTGCATATACAGGGTGGCTACTAAATATTGGCGCATGGTTTATTGATCATATTTCCAAAAAGAGAAGCTATTATATCTTCAGAAGTTTATTTTTATATACAATAAAACATGAAAATTCATTACCAAAGAAAGTGCTCGAGATGGCCTCCTTTGGTAGCGATACAGGCTTGAAGTCTCTTTTCAACTGACATCACCGTGGGCCGCAAGTAGCTGACGTCGGCGTGACGTGAGTAGATCTTCAGACCAGAAGTGGCGCACGATTTGCAAAACGACAGGCAGTTGTTGGATCTGGCTAGCAGACATCTACCCGAAACAATTTCACGCAATGCCCTTCTTCAAGGACTCTTTTGACCTTCAGCGAACGTCATTGCATTCTTCAGCAAGACAGGGCGCCTCCACATGCCGCAAAATCAATGTTGGAGAACTGTGACCGTCATTTTCCAAGTTACCGGGCACAAAATGTTTGGCCATCTAAGTCGCCCGATTTGAACCAATTGATTTGGCGGTGTGGGGCTTCTTGAAGCAGAAGATGCCTTCTGAGCAACGTCGAAGTTTGGACTCCCTGAAGGCTTCCTTGGAGGAGGCGTGGAAGGAGCTTGACGTCAGCTACTTGCGGCCCACAGTGATGTCAGTTGAAAAGAGATTTGAAGCCTGTATCGCTGCCGAAGAAGGCCATTTCGAGCACTTTCTTTAGCAATGTACTGCCATGTTATAGTATATAATAAACTTCTGAAGATGTAAACCTCTCTTTTGAAAATATGGCAATCCAAGCGCCAATATTATACCACTATATATAAGCGGCTAGCGTGTGTCTGTTGGTGTGTGTGTGTGTGTGTGTGTGTTTGACCGGAAATTCATAGCTCGAGTCACAGTAACGATAGCGCAGTGGTTCTTACATATGTTATAGGGGGTGGGATGGGGACACAAGTGGTACGTGATAGGAACTGATAACGACTGATAATAGCTGATAAGAGGGGCTAGAAAGCGAGCATCGCCAATTTCGTTTTGCCGTTCATATTGGTTGGTGGGTGCCAGAAACTGATAACGATTGATAAGGGCCGATAAGGCGCGCCAGAACGCTGAAGTCGTCGATTCCGTTGCCTGGCTCGCGTTGACACCAGAGCAACCATACTTACAAGTGTTATGTGGGGTGGGACGGGGACATTGTTGGTGGGTGCCAGAAACTGATAACGATTGATAAGGGCCGATAAGGCGCGTCAGAACGCAAAAGTCGTCAGTTCCGTTACGCAGCGTTGACACTAGAGCGTTCCTACTTACAAATTGTAGTAAGTCGTAGTAGTACAAACAAAGGTACGTGCACATTATTTCGATATATATCCAGCTTACTTAATAGAATTCGACTGCATAAATTTAAAAACAAGTCTTCAGCAAATGATAAGTTTCATTTCTGACTATTAAGAAAACCCAAACTCATTAAAACCGCTAATCCTTTCGTGGTTCTAAATAATGATGAATGTAAATGAATGATAAGCCTTAGCTCCTCACTTATGTAATAGGCATATTTCGTTTTGATTTTGAGACTGACAGCAATCCTATTCACCGCTAAATTATCTTAATTCAAGAAAAATGCTGGATGTTTACAGTTGTGATCAATATACCAGTTCAGCTCAGACGTTATCACGCGTATTCTCGATGAGCTTCAGTGAAACTGTGGAGGGTCTAACACAGTCAATAGGATGGTTAAAGGCAGCGGTTACGCTAGGTTTAAAATGTGGTTTGGAGGGGACGAGGGGGTCCTCAATAGTACATCAGTGGCGAAAAAAGCAAAGAAATCCGTCAAAAATAAGCAAAATAGTACCCCTTTGATTGCCCTTTCATTTTCGACCATGGATGAGCGACGGTAAAGAACTGACGTTGTTCGGACGTGTTAACCCCGATAGCTGCCATCATGCCAACAAGCATAGTGTTTCGATTGATAAGGCATAACATGGGCAAGATGGAAGATACAGCCGCTAGATGGGAAAAGATCATCCAAAATGAAAAGCCAACAGCAATCAGTCCATCCAGATCATCAACAAAACCAGTGGGCGGGGCGGCGCATGGGGCGGAAGGGCGCAATGGTCCTGCTCAGCAACCACAGCACTGTTCGCAGTGGAAGCGCCACACATCGCTTCCTTGGCGGCCTGCTAATTGCTCTGTGGGGAGCAGGTTCTCCGCAGATGTGAAAATTCCTTTCGTACCTACTTCCTTTAATGGAGTATCTCATGCTGATATTCCATGGGTCCTCCAATTTCGCTAAGGCCTGCCGTGCGATGCGCGCGATAGCGGGCGAAGCAAAACTGGTAAATAAATAAATAAATTAGTGCATTATCTGCATTACTGCTCCGGTTTGAGGGCGGACACACAAGCATACCGACATACATATACGGGGGGGGGGCGAAGGAAAAAGGAATCACTTAAATTCCCCTCCAAAACACCATTAACTACACTTTGCTAAGAGCAAATCAAATATCAACTGAGTTTCGAAAACTGCTTTCGATTCATCAAAAAACTTCCGCAATATCCTCTAGCCCGAGCCCAGAAAGAATATGTCTCGGCGACATTGGTACATC